ACCGGGGCCCACCCGTGGGGAAGTCGCTTCCTTGCCCCCTCCCCCCCTCCCCCCTTTTTTTTTTTTTTTTTTTTTGAAGTACGCTATTCATATGCAGAGGCGGTGGAATAGAACTTTGAACTTACTCATCAAACTGACTGCAGATTCCAGTAATGGACAAAAGGCTTATCATCTTTCATTAATTAGTACTTTAAAAAACAACTTCCGGCCATATAGTAATATAGTTAGTAACTTGTTGGAGAAAATAGCTGTTTACAGTCCAAATTTAGCGAGTTGATCATGACCGGTCGGTTTCGACCGCTCGGCTCCGCCCCTACAACTTCATTCAACTATAAAAGCTGTTTGCTTGCGAGAAATTCAAAGGGTTCTATACTTTGTTGTTCCAAATACAAACTTTAGTGCACCTTGTTAACACATTGAAGTGATTCATCTCGTTTTATACTATTTTTTATAAAAATGTTTATTATTACAGATCAGTTTCTTGTAAATTGTTTTTTTGGAATCATAGAAGGTGTTTTTTGCAAAATTACTCGCATTCTATGAAAAATCCTTGTAAAAGTATAAAAAAGTTCGATAGTAACTATGTAGTGAAAAGTAGGCTTCCTAACTTCCTAAACAAGAATGATCAGGATTTTTGCTGAAGAGGATCTAGGTTGAGAGCATGTATGTTTATTGTTTACTACTGTTCCTAACCACACTCTATTTCTTTTAGTGGTTTTATGTTGTCAGAAAAATTACTAAAAGGTAATTTCATCCAGTTATGCTATATTTTCACGGGTTTTTCCTCTATTTATTTAGCTACTTCACTTACTTTACGAAGGTTTATTGGGTGTCTTCAGCTTTGATCTCGATCCTTTCCATACCGTCGCAATTCCTACCCGCTTCGGTCTATTTCCATTGGGTGCGGAACAGCTTATTTTCAGAAATGCTTGACGTTCTATATGATCCAGCATGGACATCCGACTTCTACTGGTTACTCATTGTGGCCTTTGTTTTTGCCTTTTCCGTCTCTTTTGGTAAGCCTCTTTTACCTTTCGATTTTTACCTGTCTTACCCATTTCGGGTAGCAGTCTGATGCCCGAAATAAGTAAGACAGGTAATCAAATCAAATTTTATACTAAATGCAATTGAAGAAACCCAACACCTAAAAATATTTAGAGGTTTTCTAGTAATATAACTTGATAGAGTTCTGAGTAATTGAGCTTTCTCGAGTGGTAGCTACATCTTTTTCAATGCGACATCTGTTCATAGGTTAGGCATGGTTGCGATTTCCATGGTCAATATATAAGTGAACAACTGTTTTCTCTTGTTAAAAAAATATTTACTCAAAGTGTATGCAGTTACATAATTGACAATCTAATAGATTGCTCCTGCATCGTTTCCGAATGGAATTTTTGCAGGAATGGGCGCAAATGACTCCTGCAACGATTGGGGCCCTGCGGTAGGAGCAGGAACAGTGAAACTATGGCAAGCATACATTCTCTGCGGCATTTTCAACACAATAGGAGCTATTCTGCTTGGTAAGTCGATCTCCTTTTTCCTGGATTACAGTAGCATATGGTCGTAGTGAATGCCTACGTCCACAACTTCGCTTAGGAGCATTAGATACCGTATGCCCTACAGATGGTGTTTGTGATTCTGCAATGGAGGGTTGCCATTTTGGATGTAAGATAGTTCGCAATTCTTTCTGTAGGCTACTAGCAATAAATTGAGTTTAGAGAACTCAACTTTGGTTACTCCAAGTAGCCGCCAATGAAGGATAAGCCATGATTACGTTTTCTTGAGCATTTGTCGTCTTTTTAAAACTTTGATATGATGTGATGAAATCGCCAGTATTCCCGAAGTGCCGTAGTTCTCCTCTTAGCTCCCTTCTACGTTTACAGTGAGAGCTAAGTTCCAGCGGAGTTCGAGTTTCTTTATCAGAATTCGCCTTTTTTAGTCCCTTCAACCGATCCATATAATTAGAAGGGGCATCACCGAGATTGATCGTCGACCTCCTAGTTGTCTGGGTGGGGTTGTTCAGTTTCCATAATCATGTTCTATAACTGCAAGGTGTTACTGGCCTGTCGCGCTGACGTACCATCATACTCGATTGACCGGTCATATTGGATTGTTTTCGTAGGTATTGTTAACGTTTTGGCATTGTCATTGCCTTCCGCCTATCAATCAGTGAAGTTAAACAGCATGAACGTACTGTTGTTTGCAGAGATTCAGAAGGACCAAAAAGGTCTGGACAGAAAAGTCAATGGAATATCACTGATCACAAATCGAATTGTAAAAAATCATGAAAGTCCCATCTTCTCATCAGCAGATTGCTATCATGGGTTATGGACAAAACGTTCAATCCAATAGGAAGCTCAGACCCGAATCTATTTTTTAAAGGCACCCTGCACTGACCCATTACAAGGGTACCGAGGCTCTCTTGGTACATCTTTCTCAAGTTCCTGCCGCATAGGTATACGGTATACCAGGAGAGGTTTGGTTATCAAAAAACAAGTATAAAAATAAAAACAATTAAAATTAGTGCTCCTACAAAGTAGTGCTCTCCCAAAACCGTGCCGACCATTAACCCTCTCAGCTCGGTTCCTTCACAGGAACAACGTTTTCTGTGCTCTCAAAAATTATTTTTAAAGCTTTTTTTTATGACTTTTTGGCAATAAACTCTCTACATGGGTAAGCGTATTAGGCCCAAACATAACAAATCCTTCCAATCTCATAGTGGTTTGATTTTGGATTATGTTGTTTTCCGGGGCTGCGCTAGTTTGCTTAATCAATCCTCGACCGGTCAAATTCTAAACTTCCACTGCTCGTTCCGAGGTTACAGTAATCCATTGGTCGTTGCATTGAAGGAGCTCTCTATGAATGAAATGGTGAATCGCTTAAGAAGGTAGCTTATAATGACAGCGTTGCCAGTAGTAGGCAGATAGTGTTCCTCAGACCCTGAATTAATTAAGGATAACTCAAACACGGGCTTTCAGAAATCAATCCAAATGAAATTCCAGGTTATAAAGTGACGGAGACTTTACGGTCGGGTATCGTTGAAGTTGAAGTGTTCGACGTCTATTCGATGTACAATCATACTACCGGCACATACGAAGTAGTTCCGCATTGTGATGGAGCTGTTGCAACAGGTCAGCCTTTTACTCGGTAACTAGAGAAACATGAATATTGTAATGAAACTCCGTTGGAACTCTTGGCCTTGAGCTTGTTTGGGGATTCACCCCAAAATGAGGGGGACATAACGAGGTTCCACTTCTATCCAGAACCGTAGTGGCGTTTCAAATGCGTATGTGACCTATGTAATGACTTGGGATGGCCATGCAGTGACTAGGCAGTGCTTTTATCCTCCCAAACGAATCTGGTACCCGCTAATCGATTCCGAAGATAAGTAAGGTTCAGTTGACCAAGACGGAATTCGACCCTGGAACCATATCTGGGCTGCTATAGTACACATAGTACCTCCAATTACTTCATAGGGTACGACCTCCAAATAAATAAAGTCCAATTAACTAATTAAATGAGAAATCAAATGGGCTGTATAGGGTAAGCCTACAGTCGTGCAGACTATGATTTCAGGAGGATTTGCTCCTCCTTCCTTATTGAATGGCACGGTGGAAGTTGAATGTGCCAAATATACAGCAGCCGAATACATGCTTGGTCAGGTGAGTCCGCTTGAATAGCAAGCTCTTGGAATCGGTCAAGATTGTTCAAAATCAGCTTTTTTTCCAGACTGGTGCGATGGCTGGTGTCGCTGCCTTTATGATCGTTTCGTCAATCTACAAAATTCCTGTCTCAGCCACTCACGCCATCGTCGGTGCTNAAATGAGTAATCAAATAAGCTGCCTAGGAGTCAAGTTCACAGTAATGAAACCCATGATTTCAGGAGGATTTGCTCCTCCTTCCTTATTGAATGGCACGGTAGAAGTCGAATGTGCCAAATATACAGCAGCCGAATACATGCTTGGTCAGGTGAGTTCGCTTGAACACCAAACTCATGGAATCGGTCAAGCTTGTCTAAAATCAGCCTGTTTCAGACTGGAGCGATGGCTGGTGTCGCTGCCTTTATGATCGTTTCGTCAGTCTACAAAATTCCTGTCTCAGCCACTCACGCCATCGTCGGTGCTTCACTGGCATCATCACTATATCTGAGAGGAAATGTTGGAATCAAATGGAGTGAAATTGTAGGAATAGGTTCGTATCGATCGAGGTTACCCATGGAGGAGAATCCCGAACTGGTCCCTACTACCGCTCATGTCAGAGCTCTAGAAGAATGAGACTCCCTCCCAATTGGATCACTTCCAACACCTAGCAGTTCCTTGAATTTAGGGTGATCTATTATATTGGAATCTTCTGCATTGGGAAGGGGTTCAGTGCCTCTTTTAGAGTGCTCTGCGGTTCAAGGAAGGGTTGGAGTGAATAATCTCTGGCCCTATTTTATGAATCCTTTTTCCAGTTAGATTGGCATGGGTACCTGGGTGCTAAACTAAGGTGTTGAGTGGTTCTGGAAGAACACCCAGCGTTCATACCAGCCCATGCTTGTTTTATATCCTCCCGGATGGGGTTGGTACAGGTGAAAGTAAAGAAGTCTTGAAAAATGGAAACTTAAACAGCAACGTCTTCCTATCAAGGTATACTCGATGCACTGCCATCAGCCTATTACAACCTAAGTACAGGACTGTTGTCTTGACCCTTACCTCTACCTCCACCCCAAACTACATCGCCTTCTCACAAACATAGCTTTACAATTTAGTTCTTCATAAATGTTGTTCAGTGCTGTCATGGTTCATCTCGCCGTTGATCGCCGGTTTCTTCGCCTCGGCCTTCTACTTGATCATCAAGTATTCGGTACTACTGCGAAAAGACACATTCAAATGGGGACTAATCATGTGTCCGATATTCATGTGTTTCACAGTCACCGTGAATCTCTTCGCATGCATTTATGACGGTTCAAAATGTGGGTCCTACAGCGAATTTGTCGATTTTCGCGATCTTCAGAGTCTCCAAAGAGAAGAAGTGTAATGTAACGTTTCCAGACCTTGGATTCGATCGCCTCTCGTGGTGGCAGGCTGGTCTAATTTCATTTGGTACTGGGCTTGTTGCGATGTTACTGCTTTCATATCCTTTGAGGGTACGGTAATAGCACTAGAAAGCTAAAAAACAACTACCAAAACTAGCTTTTTACGTATTTCAGCCATGGCTGAGCAAACGTGCTCATCGACTTTACGACGAGGAAATTGCCAAGCATCAAAGAAAGTTGGAGCAAGGCAAAATCAGTGAGTCATTCATTGTTATCAAAATATCAATAGAATATAAAGAAATAAAAGTTGCTATAAAGCTTTATTAGTGGAGAATACGGTAACAAACCGAATACAGTACAATCGGACGAAAGCTAAGCACGTTTTCGAATGATTTTATCTTTTTTATCGTCTTGCATGACTATAAATTGTCAGAACATTTTAAAAATTCTTTTCTTGAAATCTTTTTTCTCCAATTTTTGAAATATTTTAGTTGCAGTTGTGTTTACATTGAAGCTTTCAACTCGTATCTCAGTTTTAAATGGTCATCATGGCCGAAACTGGATGCAACTGAAAAATTTTATGCTCCGCATTGATAGTTTAGAAACTTCAAAATGATTTAGAATCCTGAACCCAACCCATCTGCCATGAAGATCGGTCTGTACAGTTTTTCAAAGAGAAGTAATTAATTTTCAATGCATGGGTGCTTCCCACCATGATAACTCAACTTCAATGCCGTGATTGGATAAAAAAAAATAAAAAAAATAAAAAGAATGTCCTTTCATCATTTTTTCACGACCCTTTTTCACCATTTTTCATTCTAGTTACTTGAAGAATAAAGAAATCTTTTCAATTTTTTTCTACAGAAAAATTCATCTTTAGTTGTTATCATATAAAAGAACTGGCTTCAAAAAAAATTTACTCTAGAAATTCAAATTTTTCCAAAAGTGTATCCCATTTTTTCAACATTCAGAGTTGTCAGATCCCCCTTGAAAGATCCTTCCTTCGCTATCCAAATGTTGGATAATCCTAATAGATTTACCTTTCAGAGCAGTCCAAGATAAAGGATATGCATACACCGATCGTGGATATGGAGAAGATAAAGAATCTCCCATGGTACAAGTACCTTTATACTGCAGTTCCTGAAGAACGACTTACTACCAAGGTAAGACTTTGGCTAGCTCCGGAGAAGAGAACTCATTGGTGGCGAACAGTCTCAGGTTAGGCCATGGCCATTCACCTATCACTCCAAATCATGAAAAAATCAGAATGGTGACTACCAAGGGCTGATACTCCCTAAAACTGCGCCAACCTGGGGGCATAAGTAAATAAGAAAACGAAGCTCAACACTAGAAGACTCTGTTTTTCGAATATTCTGGGTTAGCAAGTGGAATTTATAGATGCTTGTGATGCTCCACTTCTTTGCCACGGTCCCTAAAAGGTGTGGGCTCTCAAAATTCTTCTCGAAGCATTGGTTGAGAGCTTATGAGGATTATAGAACCGCTGAATCCCTCGTTTATACATAATCTGCAGAAAGCAATCTTCCAATTAGCGACACCCTTTCAGAAAGCGCGCTTTCCAAATAAAAACTAAGCTCCATCTAATTAATTTGGCTCGATTGTTTTCGATTAGAAGGATGCTATCTGGCTTAGCCATCAAGGGATTGATCTTTGGCCATGGTGTTCCTTGCGGAGGAATCGTGGAATTCCTTTCTAGTGCTCGTGGAAAAGACAGGAGGAACCCGGTAACGATACCACTTAGTAAGGGTTCTTTCCCAGAGTTCTTAGGAATAAGTTGCTGTCAAATACTTCGATTCAACGTTCCTGTAGATAATTGAGCTCATTACAAAGTCGATTAGACGGGTTCCTTCTTTACAATATGTTACTGACATAGAGATGGCCCACAGCTATTCAGTTCCATTTCCTCGCTAGACACAGATCTCACTTTTCTATCATGAATCAGACGACTTCAGGGAGAAAATGAAAGATCCTTCAAGTTTGCTCGCTGAGGCCAGCCAGACCTCACGTTCTTCCTTCGGTGTTGATGACTCGGTGCCGGGTGCCTCCAACGATAAATAAACACTAATCTGTTCATCTGACATTATTCCTACACCAAGAGATATCCCATCAGAAGCCATTAGAAATTACTAAATGAAAAATAGTAATAGTTAATGGTACAGAGGCCCCACGTTGTCAGAATTTTGCCATTTCATCAAGAGCCAGAGCTCATTACTGTTCCGAAAGCCCCACTTGTCTTTTCAGGTGTTCAATGCTCTCCAAATCGTCTCCTCTTCTCTTTTATCGTTTTCTCACGGTGCTAATGACACTGCTAACACAGTCGGTCCACTACTTGCTGTCTGGATGACGTACCAAACTGGGTACGCTTTCGGTGCTGCCGAAACCAGGGACGACTCTCAGGTTAGTACGGCCATGGGTCAAAAATTTTGGAAATAAAAAAAAAATAAAATGGAACAGATTGTTACATAATGAAGCTTTATTGATTGGAATTCAGGTACTGTTGGCTTTCGGAGCCGTGGCGATGATCGTCGGTTTCGTAACCCTCGGACATCGAACGATCAAGCTGATCGCTAAAGAAATCACTGTCGATATGAGTCCAGTTTCCGGCTTTGCCATCGAACTTGGCACCGCATTTACGGTCTTGGTTTGCGTGAAAATTGGTAAGCACCCGGCCGAATCAGAATAAATAAACAAATAAACAAACAACTCGGACTGAGTTTCTTCAGGAATCCCCATCTCTTCCACTCATTGTGCTGTCGGTGCAGTTCTGTTTGTGGGTTTGACGAAATCCACAACCGAAGGGGTCTCCTTCAAGACATTCCGGAAGATCGTAATCGTATGGCTCCTCTGCTTCCCTGTAGCAGCAGCCATATCTCTGATAGTTACTATGATACTGGTAAAGTTTGTCTAGGCCTTACCTTTCAGGGTGAAGGTCCTTTTAGGGCTCATAGGTAACCTTGATATGTCCACCTACTTTTCCCGTGTATCAGTACCTTACCTCTACATTGTACATTACTCACTTAAGTACAAAATTTTTCTAAAAATGGTAAGATTCTGTTGTTCTCTCCATTTTTCAGGCATGGTCTCATTTTTATTAAGTTGGTGCCCAATTTTTGCCAATTTCTTGAACGATTTTTTTTTTCAAAAAAATTTTGATGATTGATTTTTTCCCGAATTTTTGCTGAAAGGTTTCTGGTGAATTCACTCCACTGAATTTAGTACTTTCATACCTATCTCAAAAGACTTTCGAGGCGATTCTACGGATTTTTTGAATTTTCTCAAATATTTTCTAAAATGGTGAAAACTATTGGCATTTTTCCTTTTTTAGAAGAATGTTGTGCACCAACTTAACAGTTATCCTTTACCAGAACTTTAAGAACAGCCTTAACTCTCTTGATATGTGGATGTTTTAATTGTTCCTCCTCTTTGTCTATGCCTATGCCAGTAATGTAACCATTTTTTCCACTGCATGCTATGATCGGGTTATTATTTTGTAAAATTTGAACATAATAAATGCATTTTGATAGTTTTTCTGGAGAGATTCTTAGTAAATGAGGCCTCGCTATGATTACATGAGAAACGGTAATAAGGCAACTGTGTATGTAACTGAAGTACTTTCAAAAGCCTCAATAAGCAGAGCCATACTCTATAAAGATTCCTTTTTGCATTAAAGACTTTTGGAGTGCTATATGACATGGAGCGGAAGTGGTGTAGGTGCAAGTGGCTCAATCTGTCACGTCTTGGCCCCGTGTTCGAATCCCTAATCGATCCTCACCCATGTCAGGCAACCTTCCATCCTCCACTGTTAATGGAATCTGTTAATTAGCGCCAGACTTGTCTAGGGGGTTTTAGATTCTGTCTTGTACATGGGCTGGCCACCGCATTCCATTGTATATGTAGGTCACATAAGCATCCAATTCCTCACTATGATTCTGAATAGGAGCCGAATGAGAGGCGCATCCCACCAACTGGGCGCGACAAGGCTTTATCCTATATTTTCAGAGTTCGCCTCATTTTTCTTGGAATTTGTAGACCGAGGAAAGAGTCTGCCGGGCTTTTCCTACACCTGCTTTGGTGGCACTCTTTCTAGGTCCCAGAACTAACTACGACTCATTGCCCAACTCATGCAAAGGATTCCTTTTTTGTACAGACCGTCTACTTTCTGTTCTACTAGGACTACTAGTAGTCGATCCACCATCCCATATCGAAATAACAAGTGAAGAATGCTAAAAACCCGACTCGAAGGTAATTGCAAGTGTCACTAGCAGCAGCAAACTTCTTCCGTGGACGCACTCTAATAAGAACCCATTTTTCAAAAACACATTCTGTTTAAGAGGCTCGAAATCCCTTTTATGAGTATTGCAAGCCAGCCTGAAAAGGCACTCTTAGTGAAATTGCTAGGTTTTACAGTTATGTAGAAAATGGTCTAAAAACGCAATCGTCTATTCCCCGCTACCCACAGCCTCCCATAGCTTACATATTTCTCCCCAATCGTAGACATGCTAATTATGGGATGCCACCAAAATTGCTCTTTTTAACAAAGTGGAGCTGTCAGATCTACAAATTATCTATCGTAACGTCCTACCACCCCAAAAACTCCCCGCAAAGATACAAATTCCATTGATGTTGTGTCCGATGGGTTCTATAGGGTACTTTTTTTGGGGAGGGGGGGGGGGGGGGGGGGGGGNGGAGGTAGGGAAGGGGGAAGGGGGTGAAAGGAGCCAGTGTTATAAACTGTACACGGGTTATTTTTAAGCCCCGCCAGTCAGATCCAGCACAGGAATGGGCTTTAGGAGATGCATGCAATGCAATCGAGAACACTTCACAGCTGCTTGTGAATTGAAATCCGACTTTTTCAAAGGATCGAAATCAGATAAAGGCAATCAGAAGAAGCTTAATGGCCAAACAAAAAAACTCGGTGCCTCTGAATAGCAACAAATCGAAACATACCCATCGTTCATGTATTGCGTCGTTGTAATTAGGAAAGTTCCCGAGCTAGCTCTTTAGTAGCCCATACTAAATTCTTACTATCTATAAATCACATCAAGCGAGCCAGCAAGTGGACTGAGCGTACTTTCACGTGCTACTTACTAGGAAAGTTGCTGACCTTCTAAGGAGTGTCTAAAATAGTAATGTTGTACCATACACAAGACAGTGTACTATTGAATAAGAGTGCGGTGCTCGGATAGCACAAGTACGGGTTCGAGTCTCGTCCGAGGTCAAAGTTTTGTTCAGAACTCGCCACCATTGTGATACATAAAGCATATAGATCGGTTCGCCTAGACCTGAGAACCCTGTTATCCCAGCAACGGTTTTGCTAAACGTCGAGCCTTCAAGAGAGGTTAACGAGGTGGCGTTTACGAGAGTTCTCCTTTTCTGGGCTTCAAACAAAGTTTTAAATGATTCGATGATTTAGAAATGTGAAGAGAAAGCACCAAAGGGCATTCATGGGAACATCTGCATAACATCAACAACCTAGCAAAAACGCATGCGCCTGCCAATTCTTTTTAAATAATTCGATATTTCCTTGGAAGGAAAATGTTCAATCCCACTCATTTATAAGTAATGAAAGAGAATAATGCTTTCGTGGTAAGAGTGGAGGTCTACACATCTTACTGATGTCACTTTCCCAAGCTGGAATTGCATTCACCATCATCCCTGGAATGGGCCATACACTCTATTTTCATCAAAAGATCTAGGAACGCAAGAAATGTCTTATACTTTGTTACAGCTTTCCTAGACTTTTTAAAATACCTGCTGTCCTGCTACAGAATTTGTTGGGCTACCTAATTTTGGAGCAGTTCAAAGCTTCGATGGTAGTTATGTATGCCCCCTCACTGAACTCCATGCGACCTCTGAAGTTCTCCCTCCATGATTTTCTTGAAAGACTAATTACTCTTCGAGCTTTCGAGGAGTATTCGCTTCGAAGATGCCCATCAAATCCATAGGCCTTCCTGCTAGTTTTATTTTTGTCTGACATTTTAATTTGCTACTCCTGTGGAATCTTTATTAGTGTAAGGAAACATTGCGATACCTTCCTACCCTTCAACTCGCAGTAGATATGGACCATTGTATCTTTTGAACAATATTAGCTGGAACTGAACGGCACACAGCAGACTGAAGCCCTCTGAGCCTGTGTAGAAAGTCGTTGAAGAGCTCATCAAGTACTTTATATGGCTTGAAGACCTTTTCGACTTTTATTTAAGAGGTGCTTTGGCAAAATACCTCGTTATGCTCTGATATTTTCCTTCAGAATTTCCTAACAAATAAAATGACAAGTAGATTTTTTATTTTGTGTTCGCTTACTGCAAAACAATGTGTGTGGTCTTGAAGCTAGCAAATTTGCTGATTTGCTGGTTGTGTTCGCTTACTGCAAAACAACGTGTGTGGTCTTGAAGCTAGCAAATTTGCTGATTTGGTGGCTGATTTCGTGCTAATTCGCAGAGCAATTGAATTTTCTCTAAAGTAGCTGGCTCCAAAGTAAACAACAAACACTTGCTCAAGAAAATGACGTAGAGCCACTATGAACAAGAGGTGGTTTTCAACCGGTCCACTGATTTGCAGTAATTGTATAGTCGGAAAAAAAGTTGTGAAACAATCAGAATCTGTGCCCATTTGGGATCCGAAAGGAGTAAAGTTTATATCAGTTGGGCAGTTGTAAAAATTGCACGTGAACTGCAAGTAGTAAGTATTTCCAAAAGTAAACTCCTTTCTGTTGTCCCTATTTGCATATTTGTTTAAAAACATGTAAACAGAAAGTAAAAACGTCTGTTGTCACTTTGAAGCTTCCAGAATATTATTTGTCAAAGGGTTTGTCGAGATTAGTTAACCCTGTTCCTAGAATACGCCCTGCATTCCACTTCCGTTCCGAATCGTTGTGGCGTTTTGAATGGCTTGTACTGGCAAGCCGATACACAAGTCAATGCTTTTATCCTCCCAGAGTGGTCTGGTACCGGTTAAGCAACTCGAATGAAATGGGGGCTTGGTCGTACTCGGTCATCTACCAGCTCCGCTTCGCAACAATTATTATTCTTTCAAAAAAATTGGACCACGAAAAGGGACATTTTCAAGCGGATCCTTTGTAGATTGGAACTTCGTAGGGAAAAAGGCCCACTTGGAGTTCGTGGGAACAGACAGAAGAACTTGTAACTTATAATGTACGTCAGAGGGAACCTACATATTCAGAATAAATTCCTCAGTCACA